CCCCTCGAAGTGCCACAGAGTTGGCACTGAGGACAGCACCAGCTCCGTCTGCATCTGGTCTGTCAAGCCGGTTTTTGAGACTGAAGGTGCAGAGGGTGCTGGACCCTTCAGGTCACGAGTGACAATCAGGCCAGTGCTGAGCAGTGGCGTGGGCGGGCAGGGTGGGCTTCCGGTGGGTGCTCTGCTGGCATCTGCATTAGGTGCCCCACCTTAGGGCATTGGTCAGGGGCTCCGGCTGCCCTGGTCTGAAGCAGTCGTCTTTCTGGCGGGAGCAGTGCTGCCATCTGTCGGCGCACTTCTGTTGGGGCAGAGAGTGGTATTTGTTTCTTGGTTGTTGTCACGTCTCCGAAGCTGGTGTGCTGACGGATGCTCTGTCAGCCCGCGGGTGCTGCCAGGGGGTGGTGGTCCTGGGCAGAGGGCAGGTGTGCTCATCCCCCTTTGCATGGTTCAGACAAGGCTCCTTGCTCCTTGGTGAGAATCTCAGTTGGATAAAGAAAGAGTCCCTTCTGTAGCTTTGTGGGGAAGGATTAGCGAGAGGTTCAGCCATGGCTCTCCTTAGAAAAATGATGAAAAACCTGGTTATCTCAGCAGCACCTTCCTGCCCATTCCCAGGAGGCCAGGCTTGTGATGCTGGGAGGCACGAGTGAAGAATGAAGACCTCACAGACCTCTCGTGACAGCTGTGCATTTGTTCCCCACTCAGGGTTGCACGGCGCCATCGGGGCTTCAGCCTTCTGAGATGTTGCTTCCAGCAAAACAGGTTGCTAAGGTCGAGTCCATTTGAGGGCAGTTCAAGAACAGAGCAAGTTAGAGGCTAGTAGCAAGTCCCCTCATGTCAACTCTCTCTTTGCTTTTCTAGCAAAAGTTTAACTTCAAGTCCACTTGACAGCATAGGATGAAAAGAGTTTATTCCCCACAGGTCCAAGATTCATACTGGAGTTGAGAGAAATAAAGGGTGAGACAGAGGCCAGGCTGGAAAAGTTTATTCAGACACTGGGTTAAATTGTAGCCTTGATGTGAAAGTAGGTGCACTGTTTAAAACTGACTTTCACCTAGTAATGGTTCATGGAGCCAATTTGGGCAGCAGTAATGCACGTTGGAGGCAGCAAGAAAAGTGGCACAAAGTTCCGGATCTGGAGCTGACGGGTTTCCTCAGCCCTGAGTTGTCTAAAGCTGACTTTGCAGCGTGACCTGAGCAGAAGGTGCCCTCACAGAAGGTGAGCTCTGCTGGACGCCAGCCTCGGCACGACGGTTCTTGGAAGATGAGAGTCGTCTTACAGCATCACTTGTCCTTTTGGTGGCTCAGTCACACTTCCCGCGGGAGAGGGCCAGCCGGGCTGAGCCTGTATTCCTCCCTCCCTCATGGAGTCCTCCTGCTCCACTCTGGCTCCCGGAGTCCACAGACCTCTGTATCTCCCTCCAGCAGCCCCACTCTCGTGTGCCAGGCAACACCTTGGTTTTAACCTTACAACCTGGTTCTAACCGAGAAGTGTTAATAATCACCGCTACTCACAACTCACGGAAAACAAGCACTTCAGATCCATAGCTCATTGAATTTGCCCAAACCTGGTGATGCCTGCATGTGATCCCCAGTCTGAGAAAGTCGGCACCAAGCAGCACAGTTTGACCTGGGTCTTAACTCAGCCCACTCTGTGACTGTGGAGAACACTACTTTTGAGAACAACCAAGATCACCTGGTTTTATTTCTATGCGTTCTTTGCACATGGAGGGAATCAGCCCTTTGATGTGTCTGTTACAAATACATCTGCTGGTTCTTTAGGAAGATATCTCTTCTGCCCTTAGATAGGGGTAGCTTTTTTCCTCTCTTGGCTGCGTGGATCTTGTTCCCCTTGGTGTAGAAGAAGGAATTCCTGTGTGGCACTTGCTAGCAGGATATGTAGCTTTTTCATCCAGGACCGTCCTGAGTGGTTTAGCATCCTGTGCCTGTTTTCATATGAAGCACACCTTTTTCACATGAACCAGAGAGGGAATTCTTGATGATCTTCCGTGTTTTCAAGACTTCAGACAAGGTTATCAGCTGAGATTCTGTCTTGCTTCCTTTCGCGAGGCTGAGGGTCAATATGGGGGCAGAGGCCGGAGAGAGTGAAGGACATGCGGCCAGAGGGCGAGGCGCTGGCCAGCACACACCTGCCCGGAGCCTCACCTATCTTGTTTTCCTGCACGCCCCCTAAGTGGGTGAGCACAGGCCAAGGTAAAAACCCACAGGGATGGAGATAAGATCTGGGAATGCTGCAGAGCCTGGGCCCTCCCTGGCAGAGCCCTGGGGTATTTGCCCTTTGCTTTTGTAACTCAAGAGCCCTGTTTCCTGAGTGACCCACTTACCCTGTCTGAAGTCATCCCCATAGCAACAGCTCCCAGAGCTGCCTTGTGCACCTGACTCCGGCCGGCGACAGGATCTCGAACGTCCTGAAGTAGAGATGACTGAGGACTGGGCGCAGAAACAGAGATGGTGTGTGTCCCAAACAGCCCTCGGTTTTGGCTGAGTTTCACTCCCTGGCTGGTCACCTGGCTTTTGTAGTGCTGAGGTGGGGGCATCTGACCCCCGTCTCGTTCCTTCTTTCTCCTCACCATCTTCAGGTGCCCCTTTCTCGCCACTGCCCCAGCCTGAATGGCCTGGCTTCTCTACTGCTGTCTTCATCTGGAGCAGAGAGCCCCTATCTGGAACCCACAGTTCGCCGGCTTTGACTCCACTTGGCCGCTCAGATCAGGGCATGTGTGCGGGCCTCCTGGCACGGCAGGAAGGAGTCAGCAGCATTGTCCTGGCATGGCCACATCCTGCCGACATCCCAAGTGTGCGCGTGCCGCCTCTGGCTGTGAGCTGCTCCGTGGTCAGTGTCCAAGGAGAGCACGTTTGTGTTGCACCACAAATTCTAGGTGTTCTCTCATGGCAAGTCGTGAATTAGCATAATGCTACTGGCTCCTAAAAGTTCTTTAGTTTCTTGCAGTTCTGTGTGAAAACAGCCAGTAAGACATTTTTGGAGGTTAGCGTCATCAAGCCTATCGGCATAGTCCGTAAGAGCTTGAATCGTGTGAGCTCTTTGGCCGTCCTCATCGGCTGCTGGCATCAAGGTTTCCCTTTGAGACAGACACCACAGAGTTAATGGTTCTCATCTGATCTGAAATGACTCTAGTGAGTCCTCCTCCCTCATCAGACTCCTGCTGACACACACAGGTGCCCTCCCCAGCATCTCTTCTCCTGTCTCCTGCAGAAGAGAAAGTGCTGCCAGCCTTCCCTATTCTGCCACAGATGATCCTCCCCGGCACAGGCTGCTTCTGTCTACAGCAATCAGAGAAGTCACGCCAGGCTGGGTGCGAGGAAATTGTCCTGTGGCCTCAGTCACTGAACAGCCAGAGGGATGGTGCCCCTGACTGCAGACAGCCCTAGGTCCAGCAGGAGCAGTGCAGCCGGTCAAGGCCCTGTCAAGCCCTTCGCGCTGCTCCCTGGTTTATTGACACCACATGTCTGGCACATGCAGGACGTCAGGCCGGTGCCACCTTCCACACTGCTGGGTGCCTCCCCTGTGGGGGCAGGAACACCCCCATGCCCAGAGGTGTGTGTACCCTCCGCGGCCACCCTCATGCCACGCAGAGGGCTGCGCTGGACTGGCCCCTCAGGGCCCCGTGACACTCAGCCTTATTTCTTGGTACCTCCTGCCCCTTCCCTACCCTTCATCCTCCTTCCTTGGCACATCAGTCAGTTACAGAGGAAGACTGCTGTGCTGAGTGCCTAAGAGTGGGTCCCTGGTGTGTTTCAAATCTCAGTGAGGGCTGGTCATGGTGGCTCACGCCTGTAATCTCAGCACTTTCGGAGGCTGAGACAGGAGGATCACCTGAGACCAGGAGCTTGAGACCAGCCTGAGCAACATAGCGAGATCTCCTTTGTACAAAAACGTAAAAGTGAGCCAGATGTGGTAGTACCCATCTGTAGCCCCAGCAACTCAGGAGGCTGAGGTGGAAGGATTGCTTGAGGCCAGGAGGTCAAGACTACGATGAGCCATGATTGTGCCACTGTGCTCCAGCTTGTGTGACAGAGTGAGACCCTGTCTCTTTCAAAAACAACACATCAGTGGGGGATGGTAAGAAGGGTGTCTCAGGAGCCAACAGGCCCCCTGCCCGCAGCCTGTCCCCAGGTGGGAGGCAGGTCCTCTGATCCGCTGTCTTCAAGCCCTTCAAGCACTTTCTCCTTTGCTTTATTTTGTTTAAATAAAAAATGCCCCTTAGGTGAACGAAGAGTGTCATGGTCCACTAGGCACTTGGTAAAAATGCAAAACCAGTAGTGAAGGCCTCAAAATACAGAAATAATGCAGCTGGGAGGACCGTTAGCGAAGCTCTGGTTGTGACCCGCTGCGATTTCCTTGGCAGTTCTTAAGATTAAATTATCATTACATATCCTTTGAAGTAAAAGAGTTTAATTTCTGAGTACCTTTGCTGTCAGGGCCTGGCAATTCTCTCTGCTTCTTTGGCTGTGGTGCACGTGCTGTCTTGGGAGGGCTCTCGGCCGCAGCACGCCTAGCCCTGCCTTCAGTGCCCGCACCTTCTTGGGAGGGCTCTCGCCTGCTGCACACTCAGCCCTGCCTTCCACCCACAGGATAGCCGTCGGTGCTTCAGGACCAGGCGACACGGTCATGGGTGACCCACAGCTCTTTCAAGGATGCTCTGTAATCTGTGTTCTTTTCCTTTTCTGAAAATGCTAAGTGGACTCATGGTAACTTTAAGTTCAGAGTCATTTTTCCAGTTATTTTGCAGGTTTCAGAGATGTGGCTTCATCTGTCTTCTCTGTGGCCCTTACTTTGGGTGCAGTTTCCTCCGCTGCTGAGTTGTTCTTTTTGCAACTTCTGTCTTTGCCATTGGATGATGCTCAGAATCAACTTTCCCGGACAGCTGCCGGGCTTGTGACCTCATGTGAATTGGTGAAGGGGAAAACTGGACAGAAAACACATCTAGGAATATTTTAGGAACATTTTCTCTTTCTGTTTGCAGAGTTCGCTTAGTGGAAAGAGGATCCCCTCATAGCCTGCCCCTGATGGAATCGGGAAAGGTAAGTATTATAGGAAGAAGCCTGCATTTCTGTATCAGTTTGCTTCTGAGTGTAGGAGCTTTGAAGTTTTCAGAAATGTATTTTTTAGATTGTTTTTTCCTAACTTGAAAGTAACATATCCATGAGTATAGAAACTCAAAATAACAGTGTTTTAAACAAGTTAGACTTTTTTCCTCAGGTAAAAGTTAGGAAATAGGCATCTGCTGCTCCGTGAAGCCAGCACAGGCCCTGGTGCCTTTGGCCTCTTTCTGCACGTTGGAGCCCAATTCCCAGGGTCACCTGAGGAGCTGAGGCGGCTGCTGCTGCTCCTCCAGCCATCATTTCCACGTTCCAGCCAGCAGGAGGAGAGAAAGAAAAGAACAAAGCATGCAGACCATAGGGAAGGTTCCCAAGCTGTCCTACACTGAAATTCCATTGACCAGAACGTGGTCACATGGCCACACGTAGCTAAAGGTTGGGAACTATTGAGATATCAATTCTGAATATCTATAGGCCTATCTAAAAATCAGGGTATCTATTACTATGGAAGTAGAAAAGAATGGTTATCAAGAACAACTAGTAGTTTCTGCCACAGTGGCTGGTTTGTTTTGTTTTGTTTTGTTTTTGTTTTGTTTTGTTTTTCCTAGCACTAAAGGGCAAGAAACATATTTAAACCTAAAACATATTTAAACCTTTTTTTTTTTTCCTTTTTGGCCCCAGTTGTCAGATTCCTTCTCCGTTGACATAATTCTAAAAGCATCTCACGTTGCTTCTGGACCTATTATAAAATTGCCTGCATGGCTGCAACTGAGAGTTCTTTACGGAGTTGGTTCCAAAGTAGGAATGTGCTCACCATGCATCTTAACAGTCTGGCGGACCATAGTCAGCAGCAGAGACCAGAGCCCTGAAATCTCACTTCAAACTTAAGTGAGATTTAACAGTATGACTATTCCAAGATGTTCTGTGTTTTTACCATAAAATGTTTTGCCTTTATCTCAATCATAAATGTTAGATGAGCTGATCTGAGACAGGCTATATTCAGGATTTCCAGAATAAACTTTTGATTCCTTATATAAGTGGTATCAGTGGAATGTGAGATATTTCTAAGCTAAACTTTAAGAAGGAAATTCTGGCCAGACCCAGTGTCTTATGCCTGTAATCCCAGCACTTTGTGGGGCTGAGACTGGAGGGTTGCTTAAGGCTACAGTAATCTGCGATCGTGCCACTCCAGCCTGGATGACAGAGCTAGACTCTGTCTCAAAAAAAAAAAAGAAAAAGAAAAATGCTTAATACTGACATCCATCACAGTAAAAGATATTTACCTGCAGGAAAAAGTTCCCCAGTATCGTTGAAAATTCGGTGGAGATGAGTTGGAGATCCACATGGACGTTCTAATTAAAACCCGCAGACTTCACTAGCAGTTGACACAGAATCTTTCCCTTCTGGCACCACCAAAGCAGCTGCCTACTCTGTCGTTTTGCCAAAAGCATTTTGGGTTATCTTCGAGTCCATGCTTACCCCTGAAAATGTGACTCTGTGACTCCCTTCCTTCAGCGATTACTGCAAGCATCACCCTCCATCCATGCGTGTGCCATAATGTGAGATGTAATGTTGAATCTATGTAAATATCTTAAATAAATTCATTGAAACAACTGAAAATTCCCATTTTGCAAGGGTCAGGCTCTGTTAAACGTTATATCATTTACCATGTTTTTTTTCAAAAATTATTTCCATGGTTTTCAATAGATTTCTTTTAGCTTTATTGAGGTATGACAATCAAAATGTTTAATTTTAAAGTCACCATAACAGCATACAATATTGTAACAGTTACAGTGAGAATATGATTGTCATGCTGTGATTGTCTAATGGGTCATAACTTTGTGGCATATAATTTTGATTTAATTGCTTTCTAAACAGAATGGAGACCAAGAGACATGGCATATGAAAGGAAATTACATAAAGACGAAATTGAGGTTGGCTTGTGTGTAGCCTCTCCCTGTATTCCTTCCATTGACAAGAGACTTTTCCTCTCCCAAATAGATACTTCCAGGGGTTCGGATTATAATTGCCAACCCAGAAACAAAAGGACCGCTGGGGGACTCACACCTTGGAGAGGTGAGTTGAGTGTCCTCCGAGATCCAGGTTACTTTTCTGTTACGTATCCTCGGCTTGCCTTGACATCGTCAGAACTGCTCACATGATTGCCAGGGAAATAGCGTGAGGTGAGCTTTGTGGCTCAAATGAGTCCATGAAAGCTCACAATTACAAAATGGCACTTCCTTAGGGAACCATAATAGATTCTCCCCAAATAATTCAGAAAAGATTTAAACACATAATGTGTATGGACTGAGCTTCTTTATTTCTTAGTTCTTGAGTTTGCTTTCCATGTTCCTGCTTTTATTACTGAGAAGTCCTTCAGGAAAATGGCAGAGGCCTCCACAGGAAGTAATGTGCAAACAACACCATCAGGACACAGTAGCCAAAAGATCATGTGTTTATTTCAGATCAGAAGGCAAACAGTGGAACTTGACACCTTTGCCTCATTTTGTTCAGGATGAACCCAACCTGGCTGGCTCTTAACTCCCTGCCACTGTGCCCTTCCGCGCCCCTCCGCGCTGCTGGCAGGATGCAGCTGGAGAAGGCTGCCTCGTGTAGCTGTCTGGCCTTGGTCTCCATTCTTGACACCTCATCTCAAGCAGGCCCTGGCACTGCTGGGCGTCCCCAGTCTGAGAGACCACGTGTCTCATGCGTCCTCCTCCTGCCCCATTCTTCTCTCTGGCGATGAGCTTGCTGCTTCTACAAAGAAGCAAAGGGCATTGGAGAAGAGCGTGTCTGGAGCCAGCCTCCTCCCACAGTGGCAGCACGCGTGCCCTCCCTTCGGTTACACCAGGCCTGCCGTGCCACTGGACCAAGCCCCGTGTCCAGCCAAGGACACCCTCGCTCCCCTTGTCACCTGTCCTGTCTCATTAGGGTGCCCCCATTCCTGAATGGCTCCCAGCATCACATGTGGGAGACGTGCTAAGAACTGGCATCTTCTTATAAGCAGCACCAGCCCTCCTCCTCCCCAGCCCTGGCTACATCCCCGGCCACATCTCTGGCACTTGCAGGAACACGTTTCTACACGTACATGGGTGAACGCCTGACTAATGAGCAAGCCCTCACCAGTTCTCAGGTCCCACCTTGCTTTGCTTCTTGGGCATTTTTTTTTTTTTTTTTTTTTTTTTTTTTGCCCCTCACTTGACCTCTCTCAGTCACATGAAAGATCAGAATTGTGAAGATGAAATTCTGTGCTGCTCTCACTTAGGAGTTTCCTTTAAATGCATTCCTAGAAACAAGCTGGAAGCAGAGCCTGCTTCTCCAGCACCTGGAGGGGGTCCTCACAGGTGCTGCCCGAGACGTGTGCTAGGCCAAGGTCAGAATTCTCTTCCCTCTGAGGGTGGCCAGAACTGGCGAAATTTCCAGGGTGACTTTCTTATGGGGAATGTGTGCTTTTCCGCTTTATGGGGTTAATTGAGAAAGTTGTATAAATTAAGGAATGCACTGTGATGCTTTGACGTATATACATATTTTGAAACAGTTACCACGACCGAGTTAGTTCTATTAACCGTCACCTCACATTTTGCGTGTGTGTGATGAGAAAGTTTAGGATCTATTCTGTTATCAAATTTCAAGTAAATAATACAGTATTATTAACTGTAGTCACCACACTACATTTTCTCCCCAGAACCTATTCGCCCTCTAACTGAAGGTTGGCACCTTTGCCCGTCATCTCCCCCTTGCCACTCTGAAGCCCTTGGTAACCACTGTTGACCCCCGCTTCTGTGAACTCAGCTTTTTAGATTCCACATGAGTGAGGTGGTGCAGTATTTGTCCTCCTCTGTTCTGGCTTCTCACTCAGCGTAACGTCTTCCAGGTTCATCCATGCTGTTGCACATGGCAGGATTTCCTCCTGTTTTATGACTGAGTAATACTCAGTTGCCTTAATGAGAATTTTATTTGTGTTAAGGAACAGAGGACAAGCTGTCGTTTCCCTGATCTGATGGTGCACTCTTTTTCTCAGTTTCACTTTTTCATTTGTGAGGCACTGCTCTGGGGACGTGGGTGCAATACTGAACCCGTTTCTGACTCCTGGAACTTGACTGCTTTTCATTGTCAGTAAAATAATGGAAACAGCCAAGCCCAGAATGTCTCCACAGCAAACACTCCAGAGCCTAAGAGGCCTCCTCTCCTGACCCTTGCGGTGTGGGCACAGCTGCATGCAGCTGCATGGGCTCTGGGGAACTTACCTGGTTGTGCTTTTATCCAGCCCTGTCCATGGTTCTGCGTAATCCACGTGGCTATGGCTTTGACTCACCATATCCGTCTTTGCTTACCTATTTCCCCAAATGTCAGACATCAGGCATTTTTGTTGCCGCTTTTTGGTGTTTTGTGCCCTCGTCCCGTAGGTTTGGTTTTTGGTGTATGGTTTTCTTGCATTATGTGTCCAGAAGAATGTTCACCAGGTGAAGTGAGAAAATGAATCTCAAAGCTTTTCAACATCGTTCTTGCTCTTCAGAAACAATCGTTTGGAAAAGCGAAGGAATCTAGTGTGACTTTGTTCATTTGATGTGTGTGTTTTTAAAAGCTTTTTGTTAAATCTTCATCTAATCTGCTTTAGTAAGTTCCCCGTAGGTGGATGGCTTGATTGGTTGCTTGGCCACAAACTTGGTAGACTGCCTTTATTTCAGTACCCTCTGTGTGTGTCTCCAGAAACCTGAGTGAGATTAACATCTTGGTTATTCAGTCCAAGGAAACTTTTAATATCACTGAATATAATTTATTGAATTGTCAAAGTAGTTGTAGCCTCATTTCCCTGGAGATAAAATAATGTCATCCACAGTGAAATTTCCCTCCATTTGCAGATTTGGGTTCACAGTGCCCACAATGCCAGCGGTTATTTTACTATTTACGGAGATGAATCCCTCCAGTCGGATCACTTCAACTCAAGACTAAGTTTTGGAGACACCCAGACCATCTGGGCACGCACAGGCTACTTGGGGTTCCTGCGGAGAACTGAGCTCACAGATGCAAATGGAGGTGAGAGTCCAGGCTGGCTGGCCCCCCACACAGATGGGCAGAGAGGTTAGGCTCCCCTAGATACAGAAGCTATTCCCAAGGTTTATGGCAGCCAAACCCAGGAGGAAACGTGCTAGCTGCAACCTAGTGCGAAAAGAGCCGAGTTTAAGAGAAGAGAAGAAGGCAAGATGCAAATGTGCCCAACAAGCTGAGCTGCACATCACATACCCTGTCCTGTCCTGAGAACCAAGTGCTGACTGAAAATCGGGGAGGGGCGCGGCTGCTGAGCACGGGCTGCAGTGTCGCCCACAGCAAAGTGCCCAACGTCAGCCCACAGAGTCTCCTCAGCAAGCCTGAAGGCTGCCTGCTCCCACGGGGTCCATCCGAGACAGAAGCTGGCCCAGTGGCTGCAGGAACGTGCACGCTGCTGCTTCTAGGACTGGATCTGCCCCTGTCTGGGAAGAGGAGGCCGCGAAGCTCTCGGGCCCTGGTGGCTGGCCGTCTCTGCCCATGCGTTCATCAGAGTGCAGGGCCTGGTGCTGCTGATGCTGGTGCCTAATGTGGACAGCATTGCCTTTGCCCCATCAGAGGAGAGCGGGGTGAGGCCAGGGGTATTTCATGACACGGAGGAGTAAAAGTGCACTCGCATAGTTAATTCTTTGCTTGTTCCAGAATCCTTTCTCACCTCCTTAGTTCTGCTAAAAATAGAGGCAGGACTTGGCTGTTTCACAGCAATGGCAGTTGAGGTTCCTGGTGAGATCTTGCCTGACCAAAACCCCAGGGAGATGAGTTTCTAGACATCAGCAAGGCTTCCTTACATGCCTCTCTCACATACCTACGATGGCCTGGCCCAAAGGGCTACATTTAGGAATCATACAAAAATATCCTGGCATGACATTTGCGTTGCGGGAAATTGTAGACTAGTTTGAGGGTGCTGGCTGAGGTTCCTGGAAGATGCAAAAGCTGGTGGCAGTTTATAATCCTAGAGAAAGGCCAGGAAAGCCACTTCCCGCTGAGTCCTGGGAGCAGGGATACCCTGAAGGACGTGTCTCTGCCACTAGAGAAGAGGCAAAGCTGCTGTAGGGGGCAGAGGCCGAGTCAGGGTCTCTATCTTTCTTTGTCTGACTTAAATTAGAAAATACTCATCTCTGATATTATTTTATATGTCAATCATGCCTTTCAAATTTTCCCTAATATGCTTACTACCTTATAAAAATATAGGACATTTCCTTATTAAGGAAAGATAGGACCTGACCACTAGTTGTCATTGTCATTCCGAGGTTTGCATGAAGGATAGAAATAAATTTCATGGCTCTATGAGCTAAGGAAATCTTCATGAACATGACCAGGAGCTACGCATTCTTTTCCCACTTAGACACAGAATTAATAGCACAGAGAAGCACGTGTGGGTTGGAGTCAGGGAGCTGGTCTGTGACTGCTGCATCCTGTGTGACCTTGGGCAGACGAGGCCTCAGCTGGTGGGTCCATGGGACTCAGACCACTGGGTGCTGACTTCGCCCCTCAGTTGCTCCCGGTGAACATGTGATCAGGCAGTTGACTGGATGTCGAAGCTGAGCCAAGAAAGGTCTTCTCCCAAAGAACAAGTGTAGAGGGAGCGTGGCGTCTTTGCAGCTAGCTGTGGGGCACCGACGCACAAGCCGGGCACTTGCCAAGGAGCTCCCTGGCAGAAGAAGCAAACTGTCCCTGGATCCATGAGGCCCTTCCTTGGCGTCCCTCTCACTTGTGGGTAGTTTTTAATCTTTTTTCAGAAAAGAAGGAAAGTGACTTGAGCAGCATTATAGGGAAGCTCACACAGGCTTTCATTCCTCCGCAGAGCGCCATGACGCCCTCTACGTGGTCGGGGCACTGGACGAAGCCATGGAGCTGCGGGGCATGCGGTACCACCCGATCGACATTGAGACCTCGGTCATCAGAGCCCATAAAAGCGTTACGGAATGGTAAGTCGTGAGCTTGCAGCTTGTACCCAGTCAGGAGCCGAGTTTGTGAAGCACTGGGGATGTGGAGGGCACGGCGGCAGAGGAGAGTTTTGCTAAGGTAGGGAAGGGAGTGCAAGTCAGCATTTGACTATAAACCTTTATCTTTTGGGGTTAAAGTAACAAAAGAGCACTCCACTTGTAGAGTTAGTGTACCATATATTACCTGAAAACGATAGACTTCTATTGCCATGAAAACTACTTGATAACGTTTTCCAGGAAGCCAAATTGTTTGGTTTTTAATTTACAAAAGCATGATGTAGGAAAAAAACGAACCTCACACATATGTAGGCACAGAAAATACTTTTATGACTGTTGACTTGGGAACTGTAAGTAACATGAGGCGTGGGAAAACTTTAGGTGAGAGGGAGAGGCAGCGTTTGTCCAGACCCCAGAAGAGACTTCCAAAGGAAGAATTGCTTGAGTTAAACCAAGGCTGACAGTGAGAAGGTGTGTGCGTCGCACCTGCTGCCTGGGGCGGACTCTGCTCTGGGCCAGGTGAGGACTTGGAGGCTGGGACTTTGTCTTTCTCTCTGGCCCGTTTAATCTGCCGTGACGTGCTGAGTATGTCCACGGTGCTGCCGGAGACACAGCAGCGTTTTCTTCTGATGTGTGGGAGCGGCTGGATGCTGGAGTGCCACGAGTTAAGTCAGCCAGGGCCGGGGAGTGTCACAGGCTTGTTCAGTGCCTTTATATTTGCAGTTAGGCTGAAAAGTGACTCAACACCATTGACTTTAGACTTGTTCATTCCCTTGATAACAGACAGGGTGCTAACTGAGGGCGCCTGGTGAAACTGGTCTCCGTCTCAGGTCAGAGACCCTGAGGGAGGTGCATTCTCCTCTCTCATCAACAGCTTTTCTGGGCTGAAAGGACGGGCTCTGAGATTGTTCCTTCCTCCTCTGAGCTAGCTGAGGTGCAGTAAAGGCTGGTACTTACTGCCATTTGCTGAATTTGAACATGGAGGACTTGGCAGAATTTACAAGATCCAATTTGCTTACCTGTCAGTGATCCTGTGGTTCAAATTGGCTAAGCGCCTACTCTCAAACAAAATTCCTTAAATTGTTGATTTCTTTGACAGTTCTCTCCTTGAGTATACAGAGAAGACAGAAACTCTAGGAAGACTTTGGCACTGAAACTTGACCAGGGCCTACCTTATTTTCCATCTAAATAGCTACGAATATCAGTTAACAGCCTTTCTGGTTTTTTTATTTTTAAGAAAACAATTCTAATTGGCTTGTATTACCTCCCTCAATAATTTGTCTGGTTTGCGGCTAAAAGGTGTACATCGAGGGCCTCGCTAGTGCCTTCTGTGGGCTTCTAGACTGTGGTGCTGGGCCTTGTTCTGAAAGTGTCGCTGCTGTTACCTGCCATGTGGCCACCGAACTGGGTCTGTCCCTCACCTGGTCAGGGGCTCACATGCCCCTTGCCCACACGGTGTCCTTTGAGTGGGCTTTCGAATGTTTGAGATGATCCAGATACAAACTGCTTTGCTCCACCTTCCCTCTCCCAGCCTCCCTGCACTGCCCTTCCAGCCACCGTCGGCTGCTCCATGCTGAGAAATGTGGTTGTGTCACCCAGCGTTGCACAATGGGACTCTCCATGTTGCCAAATTCAAGCCAAACTTTCTCATTTCTCATCAATTGTTCTCAGCATTGAGTAGCGTGCACAGCTCCTGGAAAGGCTCTGAGAGTCGCTGGCACCGCCCCGTAGGTCCCTGGCAGCCCCGAGGAGATAGCAGATCAAGCACACCCTCGGCCAGCTCTGTTACCTCCGGAGAGCCAAGCTGATTCGGATACTCCAGGACTATTCCATAAATTCCAAATGCCATAATAAAAGTATACCCAATGTTCCTGAGATGTGTGTATCTGTGATATCACAGATTCACAATGTGGGCTCACATGGGCCATGTAGAGCAGCGTTTTGACATCACCAGGAGCAGTATGACAGGAATTCAGCACGTCTTCTTGGAAACAGTTCTTAGCATGCTCCACAGGCGTGCGGCAGTCACAAAGCAAAATCCAGGAGAACTATTGAGAATTTCCAGGAAAATTATCCAATTTTCCCTGTCAATTTAACATAGATTGACCATACTGAATAAAATATGTGTTATTTTCCTAATTGACCTCCCACTCGGGCGCACCGCACAGAGAGGAGTAGGCACTCGTGCCCTAGGCCTCTGCACACACTCCTCTCAGCAGCAGAGCTGGGGTCTGGAAGCAGGAGGCACAGGGCTGCCTTGAGGGCAGAGGCTGATGGCACGCCGCACTGGGCAGTGGGGGCATTGGTCCTCCAGGCAGCAGCAAAGAGGCAGCACTGGAACAGACTCCGCTAGCCAGGTGGAGTGACCCTGGGCTAGAAATGGGAACTAAGGAAGATGGTGAAACCCTCACAGAAGCCGCCGAGAGAGAAGGCTGGTAGGAAACACCGATCTGTGCTGTCGCCAGGAAATGTGTGTGGGGAACGATTAGTGGGCGGCAGACGGAGGACATGGGGAGGCCAGAGGACACTGTCGGGAGTGCTCAGGCAGGTTGGAGACAGCCAAGTGGAACTTCGAAAAGAAACCACAGCTATTAAATAAAGTGTTAATAAACGTGTAATATTGGCTTCCTTTTCTGTCTTTTAGTGCCGTGTTTACCTGGACAAATTTGTTGGTGGTTGTGGTTGAGCTGGATGGGTCGGAGCAAGAAGCCTTGGACCTGGTTCCCTTGGTGACCAACGTGGTCCTGGAGGAACACTACCTGATCGTCGGAGTGGTGGTCGTGGTGGACATCGGCGTTATCCCCATCAACTCCCGTGGGGAGAAGCAGCGCATGCACCTGCGAGACGGGTTTTTGGCAGACCAGCTAGACCCCATCTATGTGGCCTACAACATGTAGTCTCGTCTCTTGGCTTCCATGGACTTTTCTAGAGATGTAGACATTGTTCTCCGTGTCCACTGAAGCGTGCAGACACAGGGCGACACTCACCAGAATGCAGCCTTTTGTGGTGAGAGTGGAGGAGGAACAAGAGGAGGAAGAGGACTTCTCACAGCAGCCACGATCGGCATGGGGGTGAAATGTGAATTTACCACTGAATTTCGCTCAGAAGGACTTTGGATTACTGCCTTCAGTTCGTTGGAAAAGCCCATTTCAAAACTTTCTTTTCTTTTCTTTCTTTTTTAATTATTGGATAATAAGTGCTTTCTTCGTAAATGTGGTATTTTGTTAAGCCGAAATAGCAATTAAAAAAATATCCTGCCCTCCAGATGGGTTCTTTTAAACAATTTATGTAGTGTGACAAAGAATTGTTTTCTCTGTTTTAATGTGTCATGAAATCTTAATGACATGGATCTGTTACTAATTTAAGCCATTGCTAGATCTCATCCTTTTAGGGAAGTTTGAGGTACGAGAAAACCTTCCAAATAGCACCTTCCAATTAGATTATAGCGGCTTTCTTTGTCAGAAATGTGCTGAAGAAACAAAGGCTGACATATGGCCTTTGAAGTTAGTATAGAATGAGAAGAAATTATAAATAAGGTGTATTTCGGCAATTATCTTGCAAATATCTTTGTACTAAACTAAAAAGGTAAAATAAGTTAACTTCCTCAATATGTAATTATGTACAAAACGTTTAATTTATTTTGATCTCTTTAGAACTATAAAAGAGAAAAACATTCAAGAATATTAAAGTCTTGTAATGTTTGCTAATATAAAAAAGTGTTGTATTATCTTGCGTGGATAGTATCACAACAAATATATATATATGAAATATAAATTCACTAATGAACAAAGGAGATTTTAAAGTTTAAGATGCAGAACTTGTCACTTGCATGGTGTGCCCCCCGTACTCACATCCACTCTGCTGTTGCCAGCAGTCACAGACCGCAGGAGCCCTGTCTAAAAGTTTCTTCTAGAACCAGAGACCAGCAAGTGAAATTACTGCCATCTCAAGGATGGTGAAAGAATTCAAAGCTCAATGTGCACTATTTTTTTCTTTGCTGTGGGACAACAGTGAATGTGTTTATGCCAGCGTGTGCTGATGATACTGAGGGGCTTTAGGTTGGCAAATAGCACTGTTTTCTTAGCTGCAAGAATTCGTTGCACAATGTTTTTCATCATTTTTGTTAGTGTCATCTTTTGTTGGTCCTTGCTACGGAAAGGAATGCGATTCTGTGGTCATTTGCACTGGGTTGCATTGATTCCCCCTCTGATGGCCAATGTGGAGTGGACAAAGTGTCCGGAACTCACATCGGTGATCGTCCCCTCGTCTTAAGACCCAGCCAGCTCTGTGTGAGCCTCTGGGGCTCCCTCGCTCGGTGAGCACAGTTCCCCGGGGGTTCATGCCAGAGCTCTGGCTGAAGCAAGAAGTCCTCCAGCTGCGTCGTTTGCCGCCTGTGGATGAGTGCGCCCCAGTTTCTGCCCTGGCAGCTCCTGGCCACACCTTCTCAGAGCTCACCTGTGCACTTCTAAATTGAATTGGCCCACGGAGTCCAACCAAGAAGGAGCATCTGCACTCCGAGAAAGATGTGTTCTGTACCTGCCCCATGTGACCCTGCAGTGGCTCTCGGTGCTAGATATGCATGACTAAGATTGATGCTGGGCAAAATTTAGATTAACTTTCATTATGTTGTGGGCAGTGTCTTTGTCTGCCTTTGCTATATGCAGTCAGCAGTAAGCCTTTTGCTAAAAGAGTTTTGTTTGACTTCTGAGATCCAAGGCTGATTGTTGTGGAAAAAAAAGAAAAAAAAAATGGCACATTTAAAAAACTTTGTCTGCATATGTGGTGCATCCTTCCATCTCCACAAACCATTTGATTCTTGAGATATTGTTTGGCCTCATTGCTGTGTGTGACTATTTCTCCACATGCTTCAGATACACATTCCTAGTCTCTGCTTCCTAAGGGGGGAACCACCACACATGGGGGGAAAAAAGACATTTTCCTATACCCACCCACCTTGTTTAAAGGGAAGTAGGTTTGGGGCTTCAGGTCAGACACTGATTATGAAACATTAGCTGCAGTGTGCAGGACAGCTTTGAGGTCCAGCTGAAGTCAGGAAGCAAAACAAATTTAGATGTCACTTCAAACATAATTTTAACTGTCACCAAATCAACTCTATGTTCGAGGAGTGTGGACGCTGCAGTGTAGTTGCGAGGGCCGTTAGCAGCAGTCTCTTCTGCATCCTGTGAACTCTGATGTTAGAGTTTAGGCTCAAAAGAGTTGGTGGACTGAGATCAAAATTTGGTTGTGCAAGAAAAAGGAAAGGAGACAGTACCACCAGTTTCAGCAATAAAGAAGGGTCATTCTGTATTCGAAATTGTACTGTAGATAAATCATTCATGAGAATGTAAAAAATGTTTGTCTTGTGACCTTGTGCTTTTGAAGTCAGACAAAACCGTGTAATCAACTTGCACAAAAAGAGGGTACACAATGAACATATAAACACAGACCTAATCAAACAGGAGCAGATTCCTCATGGTGCTTGTTTATTATATATATTTAATCCTGCTTGACACTTTACCCAAGGGAGATGGTCCCTTTTATCAGTTGAATGTTAGCAGCGTTATTTCAGAGTGTGGTGACTGGTTAGAGAAATTCATGTACTCAACCAATCACAGTTTCAAACAAAATTTTTATGTGCAAAGGACAGCAACCTTCTTGTATGTTAAACCACCAGTACGCTTTGTACATCTGTGATAACGCCTGTTTTATATTCAAATGAACAAATAAAAGCTTTTATTTTTGTTGCTCTGAAAATAGCAGTTTCTTAATTGGTCCCCTGGAAAGATGTCTGGAACAGCTTTAATCCCAGGAAGGAAGTGACTCCTACAGGGAAATGTATCTGACTCTGTTTACAGAATTCGTTGCATTACTTAGTACAGATAATCATACTTTGAACAATGTTTAAATTTTGATGGGGGCATTTATTGCTAAAAATAATTCCTATGGCAACAAATGTTTTGTGAAATGTTTTTTTTAATTCTTTTAAATATATCGAAATATATTTGTTCATATTTGCTGTAAGTGTACAGATTATTGGTGATTTGGGGACAAACAGCGTGATCCTGTGTGCAGACGCTTTCTGTCAGCTGTGTCGCAGGGTCACAAGTGTGTCAAGAAGTAGGAGTACTTGACTGTTCCACCCCAAATTGTCTTTATCCATTTGACAACCAAAAACTGCATCTTTTGCCCAAGATCTTAGAATTCTTATGGCTTTGTCTTTGGGAAAGCAGTAGCAGGTCAACTGCCCTTCAGACCAGTGGTTCCATGAAGATAAATGTTTGTTCACAAGAAAATCAGTGGAACTAGGGCTGGGCGCGGTGGCTCACGTCTGTAATCCCAACACTTTGGGAGGCCGACGCAGGCGGATCACGAGGTCAGGAGATGGAGACCATCCTGGCTAACACGGTGAAACCCCCTCTTTACTAAAAATACAAAAAATTAGCTGGGCATGGTGGCGGGCGCCTGTAGTCTCGGCCACTCAGGGTGTTGAGGCAGGAGAATGATGTGAACCCGGGAGGCGGAGCTTGCAGTGAGCCAAGATCGCACCACTGCACTCCAGCCTGGGCGACAGAGCGAGACTCCGTCTCGAAAAAAAAAAATATATCAATGGAACTAAAATTTTCACACAGAGCACCAGGTGTAATCTGAGTGCCTTTGTGTTCAAATTTCACTTGCCTTCCCTGACCCCTAACTTTCATTCAGGACAATCCCTCGTTGACTGAGAATGAGGCTTTGGGTGTGTGAAAGTGAACAGCTGGTGTGAGACCTGCAGGGCTGCATTGGAAGAAGCAGAAGATAGCAAGGGAGAGATACTTCTCCACAGGCTCCCGCTTCTCAGATGGCAGCCCTCACCATGGCCCGTCAAGTACAAACCAGGTAACCAGGAGAACTGCTTCCGTGGAGCCCTCACCATGACCGGTCAAGTACAAACCAGGTAACCAGGAGAACTCCCGTGGGGCCCTTCTTTGGACTGTGCATGTGTTCCAGCACTGGTGTGTGAGTGTAGGATTTGCTACAGTGAAGCTGTATTCTGCGTTCTCCATGGCCCCTCGCGCAAGGCTGGGTTCTTGGGATGCAACCAAGAGCAGTTTTGTTGGCTGGTCAGTCCCCGTTTTGTCTTGTGAATCCTCCATGAAACATCTCAGTGCACTCACAATGGTCTGTCCACCTGGACAGAAGCAGTCACACTGCTTCTGTGGAGAGATTGCTTAGCAAAAGGGGTCATTTCCTAACTGCTGTGTTTGCTGGGATGCTCAGCTTTGTGTTGTCTCAGTAGAATTTGCCATTCATGATCCCTACTGACATACTAAAAATTTCTTTCTACGAGATTCCAGAAAGTCCTGCGGAGATCCCATACGACTTCTTCTGTAATCCCTGGGTTTTCTTTGTAGAATGAGAATGTCGGCTGGTGTCATTGTCATGTCCCTCTGGCAAAACATACTGCAGGCACATGCGACTCAAGTCTAGTGCCTACTCTCAGTTGTAGCTCTTGCTGTTGGTTAATCTATAATGTTAATTCTATGAACAAAACAACTGGGCAAGACCAAGCTAATACCTTAGCAAGGGATTTGGGTTGGCCCCGGTGCTAACGTGGCTTGTCATTCTGTGATGAGAGCATCGTGGGGTGTTGGGAACACGGGCCCGCCCAGCTTGCTCTTGGGGTCCAGTGGTGTTTCTGCTCTGCGCTCCCCAGATCGCACGCCTGTCTTTACTCCATCTCTAAATGGGACTCGGGCTTTCGTGGGCATAGTGAGTTTGTGCCTGAGCTCTGTGGCGCAGTAGCCAGTTCAGCCCCATTTAGAAATTGCATTTAAGGCAGAAATGGGTAGAAATAGAAATAGAAAGGGCTTCTGTGACTGTCTCTCACACTTGAGTTTATTTCTTATTTTTTTGGGACAGTCTTGCTCTGTTGCCTGGCTGGAGTGCAGTGGCATGATCTCGGCTCACTGCAACCTCTGCCTCCCAGGTACAAGCTATTTTTCTGCCTCAGCCTCCTGAGTAGCTGGGACTGCAGGTGCCCGCCACCACGCGTGGCTAATTGTTGTATTTTTAGTAGAGACGGAGTTTCACCAAGTTGGCCAGGATGATCTCGATATCTCAACCTCGTGATCCGCTTGCCTCAGCCTCCCAAAGTGCTGGAATTACAGGCGTGAGCCACCGCGCCCAGCCTGAGTTTTTTAACTACACCTACTACAAAGACTTCTAGCAAATAACTTCTGCAAACCAGCTGGCCTCACTCAGATGAGGATCCCAGGTGTTTCTTAGAAGCCCTGCCAGGGGAGGGAGGGTGCAGGAGGCAAAAAGGTTGAGAACCTTAGGAAGTTTGGTGACACAGCATAGTTGGGTGGAAAACATATTTTGCAGCCCTATTCGAGAAGAGTGTGTGAGAAGCACCTGCAGGTGCATGTGCCCCTCCCAGGAGGCCCCAGGGAGCTATCCCTTTTTCAGGAGGTGCAAAGTAGCCAGGTCCAAGTGGATATCTGGATGGGCCTGACCACTCTTCAGCTGCTGCAGGTCTGGGATAGAACAGAGTGGAGGGAAAGGGGTCCTAATTTTTTCCAGAATGCGTGGAATATCCTGAGCCACAAGCCTGACCTCACAGGACAGATAACCCCCACGACAGTGCGTCCTGGTGTGTCTGCTCTGAGCTAAACTGTAGGAGAACCCCGCCTTTAGGGACCTTTTCATCCCAGGAACCCCAGCAACACCGAGGCTCCAGTACTGGGACAAGAATCTGAGCTATTTAAAAATGTGCTTCTGCAGGAAATGATGTCAGAATGCTCATTTCATCGGTCTGGTCTTCAACAGCGATTCAGCCCCGACTGTGCAGATCCCATTTCCTGGGAATGGAGCAGAACTCTTAGGGACGGAAGGGATTGGGCTAAACCACAGTGGGAGCTGGGAAGGGAAGGGACCAACCTCAGGCCCCACTGGGACACTGGAGCTGCCATCCTGTAGAGCCCTCCTAACCCTACACCAGAGGCTGAGGGGGACCTTGGACATCACACGTATGCTTTCCCATGTTTTCAGAAATCTGGAAACGCAGAATTTCAGGGGTGAGAGTGCATACATATTGAATATGAGGCTAGATTGGGCTTCTATAATATCCCAAAGGACCGTCCAGCTTTTTCACCGGCACCCAATGCCCACCAGATACCAAAGACACAGCTTAGGAGAGTTTCACCCTGAAGCTGAGGGGGAGGGAGCCTGGTTAGAGGTGACTGTGCAATATGACTGCCTTCTCCGCCTGACGACCTCAGCTGCTGCCCTTTTCTTTTCCCGCAAATGCCCGTCTCCATGGCCTTCTGTGTCCACAGGAGAGTTTGACCCAGATACTCATGGACCAGGCAAAGGTGTTCCTCCTGGCCCAGGGCCCACCATGAAGTGTGCCTGGGAGCCTAGTAAGGACCCAGCCACTCCTGGGCTGTTGACCTTGGCTTCTCTTGCCCAGCGTTGTGGCCACATCACTGCATCGTACTGTGAGATAAGTCAAGGTGGGCTCCCCAGGACCTGCACTAAATTAAATAGTGAAATCCAGCTTCAAAGAGCTTTGGAAATTACCCCTGCATTTAAGCAAAATCAGTGATACCTGAGCAAACCCTTTCACACTGGCACGAGTTACAATCCTGTCTCCTCTTGATTACAGATTCCATCCAGGCAGGAGCTGTGTTACTCTGAGGTCTCCCATTCATGTTTTGGTCAATATTTAGTTTCCTTTTGAAAATAGATTTTTATGTTACTCCATTATGATGGGCAGAGGCCAGATGCTTATATTCAATTTAAATGACTATGTTTTTCTATCTGTAGTTGGGTTTATAGTCAGGTAGTAAATGCTTTTATTGCAGCCGGAAGATTCCTGGAAGGTGACCAGAGATTAGCTTGCTGCTGTCAGACCTGAAGTTACTTCTAAAGGGCCTTTAGAAACGACTCCCTTTTTATTCCTTCTCTGAATTCTGAGAAGTAGACTTGACTTCCCCTAAGTGTGGAGTTGGGAGTCAACTCCTCTGAAAGGAAAGTTTCAGAGCATTTTCCAAAGCCATGGTCAGCTGTGGGAAGGGAAGACGGTGGATAGTACAGTTACCGGCAAACACTGATGGAGGCAGATGCTCCAGTTCAGCCAAAGACCTTTCTTCCGCCCACCCCAGAAATGCCTTCCTCAATCGCAGAAGCGTTGTCCCACGGCTCCCGATACTCAGAATGTGACCTCTGACCGGGACCATCTGCATCCTCCAGGAGCTTGTAAGAAACGCAGCGTTGTGGGACCTGGTGAACCCAAACCTGCAGGGCTCCTGGGCGTGCTTGGGGCAGCTGCAGGGAAAGCTGGAGTCAGCAACCTCCTCCTGACCTTCCCGGCGGCTGCTTTTCTGAGGGACCAGAATGCAGCGGTTGACCTTGCATCACTGGCCCATGACTGGCTGCTTTGGTCAGGTATAAAAAGGTGTTTCCACAGGGTCTGCTCCTCAGGCCTCTCACTGTCGGACCCGGTTTCCGTGGAGAACTCAGCCTCCCGGCAGGGATAGGGAACTTCAAATGACTCAGAGAATTAAGAGGCCACACATGTGCGGCCTGAGCAGTCTCTGCTGCAAAACGAAAAGGATTCTTAATGTAAAGCGTTCTCATCCTCACAGAGGGGTTCCCAGCTGCTAGTGAGCATGTCGCAGGCATTTCCTGGGCTGCATCAGGTTGCCATCAGCTAGATGATCGTTTTGGGGGCTGATAAACCAAAGACAGGTGACACTCTGCCACCTATATCA